AGTGTCCCAGACACCTGCAGGTGCTGTCATCAGAACGGGGAAATAAGTGAGTGCCTGCATTAATCCCATCACCTGCTGCAGTGGAATCCTAATATAATAACCCTCTAGAGGTAAAAGACACAAATGCAAACAAAGACACAAGAGACATCTTGATTTTCATTTAAAATTTTGGCCATGTGCACTAATTTTAAGAAATAGTTGTTTTACTGATATTTATAAAGATACTGAGAACATCTATTAATTCAGCTTCTAACTGAATTAATAGTTCTTTTTTTTTTTTTAAGTTTATTTATGCATACAAGAGCTGGCATGTAGGCCAGAGGTAGGGGGTTGGTGTTGGTGAAAGGATTCACCAGAGACAGAGTGGGGAGCAGAACAGACAGGTTGACTGAAATACACTGTTGAGGGGAGCAGTGGGCAGCACAGGAGAGTTCTGCTGTGCCATATGGGGATGGGACAGCTGCAGTGATGATAATAATGAAAGGCCAGAGCCTGAACTCCTAGGCCACCAGGGAGGTCTCCAACTCCAAAGTAATTTAGTCATTTTTGTAGCACTGTAATCTGGGGTGCGGGGTCTATGTTCCCTGACCCACCTAATAAAGGGTGGAGTTGAGCCCTGAAGGGAAGAAAAAAAGGAGTCTTGGAGAGACGACTTAGAAGATTTGGAGGAGGATGTAGAGCAGAGAGACATGAGAAACCAGTGAGGAGGCTGACAATGGCAGACTTTGTCTTGACTTGTACTTTGAGTTTGTTCCTTTTCCTTCCAGATTTGCCTGGCCTCTTCTGCTCCTTTGCTAATGGTCTCCACCAGAAGGTGCCTTAGACTTGTTACAGGTTTTGGGGCCTCAGTGGCCTCTCTTTGCGCCAACCCTGTTTGGCTGTGCATCCCCATGAGTAGATGGGTAACTCTGGGTGTTTCTTTGGGAAACTGTATCCTTTCTCTTCAGTTCTCTCTATTGCACACTCAGGTCTTTATGCAGTAGATGGCAGAATCTGTTTAAGGCATGCTAATTTTGGGGGGGCCAAGGGTGCCCTCAATCTTCCTGCTAACATTTTTACCTTAATCAGTATAGGCTTTTGAAGAGTAGGAATACTTAGGGGAAATAGAATTTCTTATCCACAGAACAGACCAGAATCATATCTCAAGGAAGACAAAAGGAATTTTCAGTGCCTCATAACTGGAAGGTGGCAGAGATACACTGGAACCAGGCAGTGTCACAAAAAATTTTTTAGAGTCTGAGGGTCAAATTTGTTCTGGTTTCTAAGAATGCAGTCCAAGAATGACTCCCATGGAGCCACGGCAGATTGTCCCATGATCCCTGGCAATAAAGGGAGTCTCTGTGATGCCTAGACGATGACCCTACTCTGGGGAGTTTCCTTCGCAGGAGACAGGGGTCTGAGTGGTGGATGGCCCTATGATTTGGGGTTTTCCCCCACAGGAGTAGGGGTCTGATTTCTAACTACAAACTTCTCCACTGGATATAGAATGTTGGGTCCTGGATGACCAGTGTCAAGCACAGGTTTAGGAGTGAGGTCACATCTGGAGCAAGGAGAATCAATCACAGGTCACAAGGGAAAGGCCAAGAGGAGGGAAATGAGGACAACAGTCTGGGAGGTGGTGTACTGCCAGCTGTGGGACTCTTTCATGGACACCTGGGGATGCTGGGCTAAACCCATCAATTACTGTACACAACCTCAACAGCCCACCCAGGATATCAAAGGCGGAAAGGCTGTTTTCCACCCATTCAGGCCACTGTGGTCCTTGTGGGTGCCATTAGGTCTCTCTGAGTTTTCCTCACAGTTCACCAGAGAACATGAAACTGAGAAGGAATAAGAGATGTCCATACCTGTTCCCCATGCAGACCACCAAATGTTGCCAGGGAAACTGTGGTGTTGGCTGGAGACTTGGGATGGAAGCTCAACAGAGACAGAGTGGAGAACAGGGAAGGTGCATTTGTTGAAATATCCTGCAAGGGTGCAGGAGGTGACGCTTGAGGCTCTCTTTTACAGTTTTCTCTGATTTTCTTACATGGGGCACCAGTTACCTGCTGGAATGTCTGGTCTTGGGCACTGACCTTTGACACAGAATGTGTCCTGACTCTGCTTCCACATTCCTAAAATAGAGTTGGTTTTTCTGGTCATGACTGGGCTTATGGCCCAGTTCCCATGGCAACCTTATCAATCCCCTTATCTATTCAAAATTTTCAAACCTGCCTTCTGGGCAAGGAGTAGGGGCTTAGTTTTTATCCTTAGTGAATGTTACCAAAAGACAGTTAGGATTTGATTCATCAGAACATGGGAAAAGGTCTTCTTCAGTGGCCCTAGGACTCCTGCAGTCGAGATGGCCTGTGAAAGCTTCAGCCCACCAAAGGTGCAGGGGTCAAAATGAGCTCTGAACTTGAGGGCCTTGAGTTTCACTTGCATGATCTCTTGCTATGGGACTAGGGCACATCCCTCAACCTATGCCTACTTGATTCCATAGAGATTAATCCAGCTTTCATCTGTGGGTGCCCCTCTTCTACATTTAATCCTCAGGTGAGGAAATGAAACTTCAAGACAATTTGAATTATTTTCCCTGAAACTCAAACAGGAAGTAGGGTGTGAGGGCTGGGATATAGACTGGCTGATCTGAATTCTGTGGTTTTGTTACAAGGGAGGAAGAGGGACACCTCAAAAGCTCCAAACTTGCCTAATCTAAATAGATCCTGCCATACACCACATCAAGACAAACATAAAGCGCTTTAATGGAAAGGAACTTTAATACTGTGGGTCTGCTAGACTGAAGCGGCCTGTTTGGCCACCATTATCATTTCCTGCAGTTTTGCATTGCTACACGAAGCTCAGAAATTGCCCTTCAGAAACTGACTAGTCATTTGATAGGTGCCAATGACATCAATCAAGAACAGACTTGATCACTCTGGGAAGGCTAGGTATGCACCATGAGGTATGACAGGGAACATTGACTGATATATGCAAAGAATCCCAGAAGCTGATCACTGGAATGCCTTGTTGATAAGATTAGAACCATGGCCCGGGGCCTGGGGTATGGTTTCCATTACAACACTTGGTCATATAGCAGATAACAATTATCTGGTCAGCAGACATGTCATCCCCTCCACCCCAAGCCCTAGATGACAAAAACACATTCTTTAATTTCATCCATCTTTTTCTCCTTGTTCTCCTACCCACATATCCCACATAGAATAATTGATTAGTCTATCAATAAAAAGGCCAGGACCTTGCTTGTTCAGCAGCCTCCTATATTATGCAGTCTGCTCCTGCTCCCCAACTCTCATTTATCAGGTTGGTGTTGCCGAAGCAACGTAATACAATTAGTGTGCCATACAGAAAAGACAAAGAATATAGCCTCCAAGCCAAGCACCCAAAGCTACCCATCCCCTTGTGAGTAAAAGTCCAGCCAAACAAGATTGGCCCAAAGTAAGGACCTACCACAAGTCTGGAGCACCTTCTGATGGGGACCCATGGAAATGGGTCAAAAACAGCCAGACAAGTCTGGGAGAAAAAGAGCAAAACCAAAATCGATAAAAGCTGCCATTGTTAATCTCCCCCACAGATCTCTCACCCACATCTGTTTTAACGAGTCCAGGGCCAAAAAGCAAGCAGTTTCTTCATATGTATCTCTGCTCCATCTGCCTCCTCCAGGTCTTCTTCTGGCTCTCCATCCTGCTTCCTTCCTTCCCCAGTCTCCCCTCCAGCTTCCCCTCCTCCCTGCTCAGCTCCACCCTTCCTTGGGTGTAGCTGGAAACTTGGAACCTCCCCTTTTCCTGGGGACCACCCTGTTACAGTTTAAGCTACGAACTTCTCCCCAAGGATCCTTTTTAGAAGAATCACCTGGTGATACCTGAGATTGGTTCTGAGGTTGGTCCTGGGCTCCCAGAAATCAGTGAGTGTTGGGTCAATTGTAGGGTGATTGTTGGGTCCTGAAATGAATGAACCAGCAAATTAGAGAACGAACACTGGACTAAAAGGAAGAGCAGAAGATTTGCATTGTGTGATGTAAGATGGAGCTCAGGTGGGGAGCGGAAAGGGCGGAGAGCTAGGTCAATTCAACTCCTGGATTTACCGGAGCCCTGGCCGGGTGGGGTAACTAGCGACTTGTTTGGAGAGCCAGCTAGAGAGGAGCTGAGGGAAATAAATGCAAGCTTTTTTGGTGAGGCAGGCACAAAATGGGGTGAAGAAACAGACATGTCCCAAAGCACAGAGTCTGAGGTGAGGGGACTGAGATGAAGGGATGGCTGACCAGCTCTATGCCAGAGTATTCAGGAGCTTCCTGAGTTCCCAGGGCTAGTCCCGTGGCTGCCCGCACCCACCCTAAGCTTCTACCCTGGGACAGCTCTCAGGTGTCCTGGGAGAGGACAAATAAGGTTGGAAAATGGAAAAACTGGAGCCAAAAAGTTTTAAAACATAGGTCAGCAGTATATTTGGCGCTGCTATTTTTTTTATTTTTTTTTATTAAAAAGTTTATTTTTACATCATTTTGCACATTTTTTTTTTCATCTCAATTGTAATCCCCACGGGTTTCCCATCACCAAATCACCCCTGTGTTGGCGCTGCTATTTTAATAAACTTTAACCAAAGTCACTTAGCATTAAAATTTGACCTGGAAAACATGTGAAGTCATTGTAGTTTTTAACTTATCTCACCAGTATCAATATTTCGTCACAGAATATGAGCTTGATTTTTTAAATGCAATTATATCATCTTATTTTGTATGACCTATTATAAAATCCCCAAAGTTTTGAGTACTGAAACATTTGCCTCCAAGGATTTCCGAGAAAGTATTACGGACCTAGGGCAGTCTGACTATTTCAGCATTTTGTCCAAATTCCAATCCTCGGCTGCATCCCTTGATCCTAAGACCACGTGGAGAAGTCAGAGAGGCTTCAGCCTGGGACTGTGGGGGCTGGTGGGTATAGCCTGGCCGGTTCAGACTCCACCCAGGCCCCGCCCACTTGGGGCTGTTCCCACACCTTGTGCCCCACCTCCACATTCCTAGGTGCCAACTACCACTCTTCTTTCAGGGACTGACATGGCCCAGCGGCTGAGAACAGGACTGCTGTACCTTCTGGTGTGGGTGGCAGTAGTATGGGCTAGTCACTTCAGGACCGACCTTCTCAACGTCTGCATGGACGCCAAACACCACAAGGAAAAGCCAGGCCCTGAGGACAAGCTGCATGAGCAGGTGGGTGGAGGGTGCTGGGGGCTGGGGAGGAAGCTGAGTCAAGATGAGGAAAGCAAGAGATGGAAGCATCAACTTCCTCCAAGCTTGAGGCAGGGAAGGCCGCCTGGAGACCTTCAGTTTGCTACAGTGGGGGTGACTTTTTAACAGTGGGTGCCAAGGGTTGCCTGTACAGTGCCAACAGCTAAACGCCTGGTTGTTGGGTTTCCGGATTACAAGCCTCAGGAAGTAGGCCCAGGGGGGATCCTGGAAAATGAAAGTGGAGCCCCCATTTCGGTGACTGATTTTGAGGATCTGAGAGGAGAGTAAAGTCTGCACATCCAGGATCCTCTTCTGCCAGCATCTCATAGCTCAACACAGTGGGTCTCTCACAATTATGAGACGAGTGCCAGGCATCTTGATTCATGCATCCGGTGAACATGTCCCCTGGGATTCGCCACCCTATTAGACCTGCAGTCTCCCTCCTATGACAGTGATTTTGCCAACCCCTTTAATAGCCTGAGCCTCTCTCAAAATAATCAGTAGGTGCCATTAACTGTAAAGAAAAACAAAAGGAAAGTCACTTGTAATATACATTATAACACATAAATGTCCATTTGGACATCACTGCAGATAAAAAGTACTCATGTTACTGTTTTGCTCTGAAATTAAATTCTAGGCTGGGTTTTTTTGTTCATTCCGTTAAGAATGTACTGAGTCTCTATACTAGTTATTTCTTTATTTAACATGCTTCCTCACCTGTAAGTCTTCATTATCTTCTCAATGAGACTTAATCTCACTATTCTATAAACTGTAATTTACCCTCCTCCTGATTTAATTTTTCCAAGGCCATTATCCCAAGATAAATGTTCATGATTGTGTCCCCAGTTCCTAGAATGGTGCGCATGTTCTAGAAATTGAGAACTCAATACAGATTTGTATGAGTAAATCTTGTGTTGATTACATTTCTGGCCATGGCGGCTTCCAGCCTCAGGGAACCTCCTCCCTCAATAGCAAGTATTTCCCTGAGAGACCAAGACTGCATCAGGGGATGGAGAATGAAAGAGGAGCGCCCGTCTGTGAAAATATTCTGGCTATGCCAGGCATGGAAGTTAGTCTTGTGTCTTCCCCATCCAGTGCAGTCCCTGGAAGGATAATGCCTGCTGCTCTTTCAACACCAGCCAGGAAGCCCACAAGGATATATCCTACCTGTACAATTTCAACTGGGATCACTGTGGCAAGATGGCGCCTGAATGCAAAAAGCACTTCATCCAGGACACCTGCCTGTATGAGTGCTCCCCCAACCTGGGGCCTTGGATCCATCAGGTACCAGTGTCCTTCCCCACATCCCTATTCTTTTTTTTTTTTTTTAAGATTTATTTATTTTTGTATACAAGTGCTGAGGTATAGGCCAGAGGTACAGGGGTGGGGGTGAGAAGATTCACCAGAGACAGAGTGGGGAGCAGAACAGGGAGATGTATTGAAATACACTGAAAAAGGGAACAGCAGGCAAGACAGGAGAGGTCTGCTGGGACATGAGTTCAGCTCCTGGCCAGGGATTGATTTCCTGCACCGAAGCTGGCATAGCTTGATAGTGCTGAGACTTAATCTCTTGCACCATCGGGGAGGTTCCCCTGATATCCCTATTCTGAGAGCTGAGCTTTTCTGCCTCTCTGGCTCTGGGTCTGTTCAGGGTTGGGTTGGTAAGAATATTGAGCCTGAGCCCTTTACTTCTGCTACATCCCCCAGGTGGACCAGAGCTGGCGCAAAGAGAGGATCCTGAACGTGCCCTTATGCAAAGAAGATTGTGAGGAGTGGTGGAAAGACTGCCGTACCTCCTACACCTGCAAGAGCAACTGGCACAGGGGCTGGAACTGGTCCTCGGGTGAGGACTCGGGTGGTACATGGGGAAAAGGATTTAGAGGTGGAAGTGGGGGCTAGGGAATGGATCAATGGAGATTTGGAACTGTGGGACTGGAGGAACCAGAGACAGTTCTAGGTCTGGGGGCTTAAGGTCTTCCATCCTCCCTACAGGGTATAACCAGTGCCCAAAGGAAGCTACCTGCCGTCCCTTTGATTTCTTCTTCCCTACGCCTGCTGCTCTGTGCAGTAAAGTCTGGAGTGACTCCTACACGGTCAGCAAGTACAGCCGAGGGAGTGGCCGCTGCATCCAGATGTGGTTCAACCCGGATTATGGCAACCCCAATGTGGAGGTGGCCAGGTTCTACGCCAAGGCCATGAGTGGGAGTGGGCGTCATGGAGCCTGGTCTCTTTCACTCAGCCTGGCCCTGATGCTGCTCTGTCTTCTCTGCTGAGTATCTTTTACATTCTGATCCCCAGACATCCCTGTCCTGTCCAGCCCCCAGCTCCATATTCAATCCTGCTTCATGGTGAGAATGCTTACTAGTAGTTTAATAAATCAGTCACCCTACATGTATCTTGTGAATTACTGGACGTGAATGGAATGTGACTATTTTGCTTCCCAGTTCTCACCAATTTAAAACAGTTAGAACTGGTCAATTTACAACTCTGATATTTGCTATGGGTTTTCTAAATACTACCTATTCTTCCCTTGGGCATTTTTTTTTTTAAAGATTTATTTATTTGTGCATACAGAACTGGGGTACAGGCCAGTGGCTCAGGGGCGGTGAGAGGCTTCACCAGAGACAGAGTAGGGAACAGAACAGGCAGATCTGACGAGGTACACTGCTGAGGGGAGTAGCGGGCGGGTCAGGAGAGGTCTGCCGCATCATGTGGGCACCTCCGGGGCAGGCGGGGATGGAACTCATGCGGAAGTGGCTTTAGATTCTCAGTGCTGTGCTTTAACTCGCTGCGCCACCAGGGAGGGCCCCCTTAGGCATATTTATAGTTCTCAATGTCATTTTTCACTGTGGCCCTAATCTAAAGGCAGCCTCAGCATCTTACCACTTGAATTAGGGCCAAGCTTCCAGGGGTAGACCATTCTGCCCTGAATGCTCTCCTACAGAAGAGAAGGGAACAGGCATGCCTGGCATGTTCTAGACGGATAGCTAGAAAAGGGAGTAGAACAACAGCTAATACCCAGAGAGTGCTATCCAGCAGGCACTGTTCTAAATGCTTTGTACTCATTCCTAAAACTATACATATGCAGAAACTGGCACTTAAATTAAGAAGTATTGCCTGCATAATAGCTGAAATTTTTACCCTAGGCAGTCTGGTTCTTGAGGATGAGCTTTCCTCTTGTGGAGTAAATATGTGTATCTTGAAGGGATAATGCCTAGATGAGCTGTGTCTGAGCAAGAACTGGAACCCAAATCCAGATTCCTAGAGTAGGTCCCAAATCAATGATTTGGCAGATTTTTAGGCAGGGTTCTCACATGAAGTATAGTTTGTATTGGTTATAATAAATTAGGGTATGTTATAGTACAATCCCTAACGTCTCAGTGACTTGACCACACATTTATTTTTTGTTTGTCCATACCAGCTCTTACAACTTCTGTCCATCACTAATTTTGCTGGCCAAATCAAGTTGACCATGACTGCAAAGAGGTCAGGAAAATACAATCCTAATTTGCCTGGGATATTTGTCAAAGACCTAGTGATTATCAAAAATACCTTGTATGTTTTGGTCAATTTATATTTATGGCGTGATCAGTAAAAAAGTGTAACTCTTTGCACCTGTGCAAAGAACTATAACATGACAGGTGAAGCAACTCACTACCACCAAGGTAGTTTTGCAAACAAAGCCAATCAATGTATCATTTTCTACAGAACCAGTGATACTATTTACAAATATGATTTGTTTACAGAATATTAGTATTAGTGAAATTTAAGATTAATACTACCAATCCAACATAACCTATCTAAGGCCTATTGTGCAGTTTTCTGACCCATTTATAAAAATAATATATAAATATATATGAATTCCACTTTCTATCATTGACATCCTCAAGTTCTGAGGCATCATTTGCTTGCAGGATGTACTAATAACTTTCCATATTAAGATTACCTAGAGCAGTAGCACTAACATAAAGATAGACATATAGATTAATCGAATAGAACTGAAAATCCAAAAATAAGTCCTTGTATTTATAGTTAGTTGATTTTTTTTTTTAGGATTTACTTATTTACTAAGCCAGAAAGAAAAGGAAAAATACCAGGTGGTTTCATTCATAGCAAGAGTATAAAAGGATCAGGGATAAAATAATAATAATGAACAACTATATACCAGAGACATTTTGTGGGGGTGGAGTGGGGAATGGGATCAAAAACAGTGGGGGGAGGGAAGTGCACTGGACTCTGATGATGGCACATGGGTGATTTGGTGATGGGAAGCCCATGGGGATTACAACTGAGATGGAAAAAGGCACAAAATGATGTAAAAATAAACTTATATTATTTTAAAAAAAGATTTACTTATTTACTTATGCATAGAACTGTGGTACAGGCCAGAGGTATGGATGGTAAGAGGGTTCACCAGAGACAGAGTGGGGATCAGAATAAGCAGATCTACTGATACATTGCTAGTGGGAGCAGTGGGCATGACAGGAAAGGTCTGCAGTGCCATATGGGTTAACTACCTGACCAGGGATCCAACTCAGGCTACAGTGGTAATAGCACTAACTTAACCCCCAGGCCCAGGGAATCTCTAATTAGTTAATTTTTTATAAAAATGCTAAGGCAATTCACTGGGGGAAAGATAGCCTGTTCAATGGATGTTCCAGGACTACTGGTTATCCACTTAGACCTTCACCTCATACCAAACTCAAAGTTAACTCAAAATAAATCAAAGACTTAAATGTAACGGCTAAAACAATGAAAATTTTAAAAAAAAACAGAGTACCTTCTAGGTCCTATGTTAGGCAAAAATTTTTTAGGCTGGGCCCTCCCTGGTGGCGCAGCGGGTTAAAGCACAGCACTGAGACTCTAGGGCCACTTCCGCATGAGTTCGATTCCCGCCTGCCCCGGAGGTGACCACATGGCGTGGCAGACCTCTCCTGACCCGCCCGCTGCTCCCCTCAGCAGTGTACTTCGTCGATCTGCCTGTTCTGAGCCCCACTCTGTCTCTGGTGAAGCCTCTCACCCTCCGCATCTCTGGCCTGTACCCAGTTCTGTATGAATAAATAAATAAATCTTAAAAAAAAAAAAAAATTTTTTTTAGGCTAAAACTTCCACAATTTGCTTATTTCTTCGTTGGACCAAAATCACACGCAGTCCATTGTTAAAAAAATTATAAATTGGGTGTCATCAAAATTCATAACATTTTGCACTACAAAAGATACCATTAAGAAAATCAAGATATGGGGCTTCCTTGGGGGCCCAAAGGGTTAGTCTCAGCTACTGCAGCATGGTTTTGATCCCCCACAAGGGAGCTAACTCACATATGCAAATAAATAACAAGATATATTTCATATCCACCAAGGTAGCTACAATAAATAAGACAGGCAAAAATTGCTGGCAAGTATGTGGTATTGCTAATGGGACTGTAAAAAAAAAAAAGTCCTTCCCTCCAGAAAACAATGTGAGGGTTTCTCAAAAAGTTAAATGTTAAACTGTTTTACAATAAGCAATTATACTATCCAAGAGAAATGCAAATATATATCCATAGAAGAATTTGCATATGCATGTTCATATCAACATTATTTATAATCTCAAACTAGATTTAACCTAAAGTTCTTTCAACTGGAGAATCGACATTTATTTATTCACTTGCATGATGGAATACTATTCACTGATAAAAAGTAATAAACTACTGACACATACTATGTCATGGATAGACCTTAAAGACATCAGGCTAAGCAAAACATTATGCTAAGTGAAAGCTCATTTGTATTAAAAGTCCAGAAAAGGAATATTTATGAGATAGGAAGTAGACTAGCGGTTGCCTGGGGCTAGATTTGGGAACAGAGATTAACTATAAATGGGCATAAGGGGAGAGGAAAACATTCTGAAACTCATTTATGGTGAGGTTGCACCACTCAGCAAAATCATAAGCTGTATATAAACAAGTATATTTTATAATATATAAGATGAATGAATGAATGCCTATAGGAAACACTCCTTTGCAATGGTAGCATACAGGGAATCTTACATGATTCTTAATTTCTTTGAGGTAAGCTGATAAGGACAGATACTCTAAAATATTTAGCATCTGACTCCATAAAATTCTATCATCTGAGATAAACTGTATTCCATCCCAGAGTTTGAGAAACTGGTTGGAATAAAATGGCAGACAAGCAGGGGATCTATTGTTAGTGTAGATGTAAACAATGCTGCAGAGATGTTTCAATGACTAGCCCATTGACCAAGCATTTGTTTTAGACAGTGTTTATTCCAGTCGGCACAAGTATAGTCTGCTAAACTGAAGGCTAGAAACCAGAGCCAGAGGAAAGAAAAAGGACCACATCATATGACTAATTAAAAAAAAAAAAAAAAAGAACATGAAGCACATTACCAAAAATATCAACATAAGAAACTACAGCCATATCTCATTCATCAATGTCATTAATTCTTTTAAATTTCTGTCATCTGCTTATGAGTTAGTATCACTTTTCATAGAATTTTTCGGTTTCCAGGCTAGCATTTTTCTGGAAATCTTATCTCAAGTTTCTGGTAGGTGAAGCATCCAAGTGTTAGTTTGTGGTGGTGATATCAGATCATGAATCATGTGACAAGATCTTTAGGAAAACAAAAGGGAGGAATAGTCACAGGAACAAATAGCTATTCAATCTATTAATTCCCAATATCAAAGTGAAAGTGAAAATAATTTGCATTAGGGTCTCATACAACAGAACATGAAACTATTGGTGACTTCTGTATTTCATGAGGTCTCTGTCGATGGTTGCTTTGAGCAGAGCATTTTAGAGTCTGGGGAAGGAGAGGTGGGCAAGGAGAGTTAGTGTTCTGAACCAATTTAACTGAGTTACTTTCGATAATTCCACTCTCCTCTTTATTGGCCTGAGTCCTGGGGTCAGTGGAAGTACTCAGGAATCTTGAGATTCGTAAGGTGCACGTCATAAGATGTACACCAACATTTCAACAGTTATTACTGACACAGGGTTATTTAACTAAGGAATAAAATCATCTTAAAAACAAATTTGTTGATAATTATCATGTAATTATTTGCACATGAACATGAATATATTTTTTACCTGTCTGGAAAGGCCCACAGTTGCTGAATATTAGTAGCCACATTCCTTTACCTTGCATACAAATCATCTAGAAAGGATGAGTGCCACGCCTTGCTTTAACATTTTTGTCACATTATGGACACAATGAACAGGATAGTTCTAATTCTGCTAAGCTAAATTTAAAAACATGGAGCATGTCAATTATTCTTAATTATTTTTAGCATTCCTTCTCTCTCTCTCTCTGACTTA